GAGATGGGGCTGGTAGCAGGCAAGGCCTCTCTCAGATGAGGGAGGCAGCGGGGGACTCCACGGGAGCCAGTGGTGCCGGCTGGCAGATCTTTAAATTAAAATACATATATACACCGGATAAATAACCCGGGCCCATCTCCTGGTGACAGGCAGAATTAAGTTGCCTGGTTGGGGACCCAACAGTGAACACTGAGGACAGCAGGAGAGGACAAGAGACGTCACCCGCTCTCACGGCCCCCCGACCGTCCCTGGTTTCTATTCTGCCAACCTTCCCACACACACCCTCCCTCCTCCCTGCTGGGGACCTGGGACAGATGCTGAGGGAGTGAGATTCGAGGGTTTAGGACACCAGATTCTGGGTCCCAAGTTCTGCCAGAGGAAGGAGGCTAGGCAGATCACCAGCTTTCAGGAGCCGCTGCAGTCTGTCCCCGTCCCACACAGGCCCAAGGAGGCCCCCAAGGGGCCCCCACACAACTGCGGGGTCCCCAGCCCCAGAGCCCACAGAGAGGGGCGGAGGGCGGGAGGGTTTTTTTTCAATTAGGAATCAGCTAATCGCCAGAGAGGGCCGCTCTGGGGCCCAGGGAATCTTTTCTGAAAACCCTGTACAATGTTAATGACCTGGACAATCCCGGGATTAGGCCACTGGGAGGGAAACCAAGGTGCGGGGCTGGCGGGGGGATTAGCAGATCGGAGGCTGGGGGAGCGGGCTTTGGGGGAGCGGGCCCTTGAAATCCATTTTCTCATTGAAGATTCCAATTTTATAGCTGGGGAAACTGAGGCCCGGAGTGTGGGGGGCAGGAGTCCCTCCAAGAGCACCCTCCCCAAGACAATCAGGGATGTTATTCATTAACTGTCCCTCCCTCGGTTTCCGGGAGGATAGACCCTACCGAGGGCATGGAATCCCAAGGGGCTCTGATCTCAGGGTCCCTGCACCCCAGTGTGTCCACGGGGCCCATCATTGTGTTCCGGTTTCCTGGAAGTTTCCTCCTGATACTGATCGTGTAAAAGATCTCTCACTGTCTGTTTTTGCTGGGGTCGGGTGCTGAGTCGGCTAACGGGAGAAGCATGGCTGTGAGCTTCGTCGGGGTCCCGTGGGAACCATCGCAGAGGAGGAGTGGCTGGGGGGTCCTTTTCCTCAGGCCACGGGGATGGGCAGAAGCCAAACAGACAGCAGGCAGGGACCCCCGTGCAGAGTGGGTGGCTGGGGGAGCGGGGAGGGAGAAGAAGGGTGTTTTGTGGGGTTTCTCTTTCCTTTTATTTTTTATTTTGTTGTCTGGTTGGGTTTGTTTCTTTGTTAGAGAGAGGGTCTTTTTTGTTGGTTTGTTTTTTGTTTTTCGAGACAAGGTTTCTCCTTGTTGTTTTGGTGCTTTTCCTGGATCTCACTCTATAGACCAGGCTGGCCTCGAACTCTCAGAGATCCACCTGCCTCTGCCTCCCGAGTGCTGGGATTAAATGCGTGCACCACCATTGCCCAGTGAGAGAGGGTCTTATGTCACTCAAGCTGGCCTCAAACTCACTATGTAGCTGAGGATGACCTTGAACTCCTGATTCTCCTGCCTCAGCCTCCCAAGTCCTGGGATGACAGGTGTGTGTCACCAAGCCTGGCTTATGGGGTGCTGGGGATAGAACCCAGGACTTCATGCATTGCTAGGCAAGAGCTCTGCAAACTGAGTTACAGCCTTTCCATTTATTATTATTATTATTATTATTATTATTATTATTATTAATTTTGGTTTTTCGAGACAGGGTTTCTCTATGTAGCTCTGACTGTCTTGGAACTCACTCTGTAGACCAGGCTGGCCTGGAACTCACAACAATCCTCCTGTCTTAGTGCTGGGATGACAGGTGTGTGTTACCATGCCCTGCTTCTCCTATTGAGGGTTTGTGATCTCTAAATGGCTCTGGCATTTCTCCCAGAATTCTCTGACCTCAAGGCCTCCTGGGGGAGGGGTGCTCTTTGTCCCACACTCTCCTCTCCCCCATCCAGCCGTGGCTATGAAGTCGCCCGCTGTCCCCCGGGGTCCCTACCCCACTAGATACATAGGGAATTGGAAGGGGTAACCCTCTTTGACATTCAGAGGCTGCTTGGTGGCCGGCTGGGGAAACTGAGGCCAGCTGATTAGGACTCTGTCTCCCGGCCTCTTGTGGGGCCTGTCTTCTGGCCCAGGCCCAGACACCTGTGGGAACTGGTATTCCAGATGCAGAGAAAATGAACAGGGAGTGAGTGATTGCCGGGGCTAAGCCTGGACCAGGGTGAGGACGTCTCAGGTGGGCTCATGTGGCACCGCACGGATGACCTCAGTGTCCAGGCCTAGGTGGGCTCCGTGACTCTGTTTCCCTCCGTCACCACCACGGTTCTCCATGCAGTTCCCAGTGCCTGGGGATGGAGAGCGGCTTCAGGCTTCGGGGGGCTCCGGGCTCCCCTACCTCCCCGCCCCCAGCTGTCAGTCAGGCCCTCCGGGCCCCCTTCAAGTCGTCACGGCCCAGCAGTGGCCCGGGGAGGGATTATTCCGGCCTGTCCAGGGTGGATTCAAGTGGAACAGGCGCGGACGAGCGGAACGCGCCCCCGCGGGCCGGGCTGCCCGCCTTTGTCCACCGGCCGGAACGGCCGCCACCTCCCGCCCGAGCCTGGGTGCATTGTGCGGCCGTCCTCGGTCGCTTGGCTGAGGTCCCCTGTCTGCGTGGCCCCCTGCCTTGGTTTCCCCACCTGTGCGGCGGGTGCCCCTCTCCCTGTGCCAGAGGGTGGACGCGGGTCACGTGGGCGCCGGAGAGTGTGGGAATGTCCCCAGCGCCCTGGCGTCCCCAGGGCGCCCCGACCGTCCTCCGCTTGGCTTTTGTTCAGGAAATTGGTGGTGGCAGGGAGAACCGATCCCCTCGCCGACTGAATGGAGCCGAGGCAAATGCTGTTGACCCCTGACCCTGGCTCCCTAATCCCAGCCTCGAAGCTGTCCCCCAAGAGGGGTCCCAGGAGATGATCTGGGGCTCGACCCTCGGCCCAGGCACCGAGGGGAGGCTTCCGGGTCAGGGTCTGCGGGCCTTCGGGGGAACATGGCTGCCCCGTGGCCACGTGCCTGGTCACCGGGGCTCAGAGGCCGCCCTGGGAAACTGAGGTACGGAGGGCAGCTGGAGCCCACAGAAAGCCCTTGCGCTGTGGTCCAGTGCAGAGCCTGCTGCCTCGGGGCTGTGTGTCACAGCCCCCGTGGCTTGCCGTCTCTGAGTCATGCGGGGGACGTCCCTGTGTGACACACACTGCTGGGAATGACCAGAGAGAGGAGACCTCCCTACAATAAGGAAGCGCTCGCCACTCCTCATTGCCTCCTTTGTACAGATTCTGCCATAGCTCCTTCCCGGGACAGCCATGGACTAGCCACAGAGCACGGGGGGAAGGCTCAGTGGTTAGAGCACAGGCTGCTCCCGCAGAGGATCCGGGTTCCGTGCCAGCAACCCCACAAAGCTGCCTGTGACTCCAGCTTCAGGGGACCTGACAGCCCCTGCTGGCCCCCATGGACACACACACACACACACACACACACACACACACACACACACACACACATCTTTAAAAGGCCAGGCGTGGTGGCCCACACCTTTAATCCCAGCACTCTGGAGGCAGAGGCAGGTGAATTCCTGTGAGTTCCAGGCCAGCCTGGTCTACAGAGAGAGTTCCAGGACAGCCAGGGCTACACAGAGAAACCCTGTCTCAAAAATAAATTTAAAAACCACAAATAAGGTGGAGGAAAGGGCTCCTGGGGAGCCACAGGGCCATACACCCATACGGAAAATCATTTCCTTACATTCTGGAATGAATGAATGAGTGAGTGAATGACTGAGAGGGGTGTCCCCACTTCCTGCAGCAGACACCCTACTCTGTGCCCTCTGGGTCCCGGGAGGCCTCTGTTAGCAGCTTCCCCCACACACCCACCCCTGCCACGCACACGTGACGCTCTCCTCCATCACCGGCAGGCGGGGTTCGCATGCTCTGGTGCCCTGGTGCTCCCCGGCGGTCTCATGTCTGTTCCACCCTGCCGAGCTGTTCCCCACGATCAATTTCAATTTGGCCTGGTCTCTGCCTTGAAGCTGGACCCTTCCCTGGAGGGCAACAAGGGGGGAGGTGGGTTCACGCTTCTCCGCACAGTGGGGGGGGTGTCCTGCTGTTGCTGAGACACCTCGGGCCTCAGTTTCCCTGTGTGGGGAAGGAAGGAGGATGGACGGCCCCAAAGCCAGGCTTGCTGTTTCTTAGTCTCACAGCTTTAAATTTTTATTCATTTGTTTATTTCTGAGACAGGGTTTCTCTGTGTAGCCCAGGCTGCCCTGGATCTCACTCTGTAGACCAGGCTGGCCTCGAACTCACAGAGACCCTCCTGGCTCTGCCTCCCGAGCACTGGGATTAAAGGCGTGCGCCACCACCGTCCGGCATCCCCTGGAATTTGTTCTGTGCCTGTGGTATGCTTGATTTTGTGTAGGGGGACAGGTGGGGACCACTGTGAAAGCTAAAGTTCTTAAACTAAAAGAGTGAAGGAAGGTGGCCATGCAGAGACCCTGAGGCACCTGGCAGGCAGGGAGGAGGCCCCTGCTCTCAGAGGGAGGACGGGAGGGCAAGGAGGTGAGGACACGGCAGGAGAGCGTGGAGCGTGGTGAGCCTCGGTGGTGATGTTGCTGCTCAATATCAGTCAGTAGCCAACACTGGCCGAGTGCCGATTGTGCGTCAAAAGCCAACCTTCTTCACCTTGCCGGGCAAGCACAACCCTCTGCTTGTTTATACCCATTTCACAAAGGGGGAGAACTGAGGCCACAGAGGAAGCATGTCCCTGGAGAAGGTCACAGAGCCAGTGGGTCCGTGCCTCAGTTTCCCAGACAAGAGTTTGGAAGGAAAGTGGGACCGAGGAGGTGTCCCTCTCTCTCCTGGCTTTGTGTGGCCCGCAGCTCCAGCAGCCACTAGGTGGAGCGAAGAGGCCAATGGAGACCCGGCTGTGGCGGTGTGCTCTCCTCAAGGAGCCTCCAGAGCACCAGCCCTGCTCTCGGCCAGGCCGCTGGGCTCCCGGGACACCAAGGCCCCACCGTGACACCCACCTGACAGCCAGCCGCGCCCAGCCACTGCCGAGCCCAGCATGGCCAGCTTCCATGTGGCTGAGCAGGTCTGGATGGGGAAACTGAGGCTGAGCTGAGTGAGCACAGGAGAGCCCCGAGTGCTGGGCTCAGTGGACGGTGGAGTGGAGGGGCTGGTTCTGCACGGACAGCCTGAGGGGAGACCGAGGCCATGGGCACCCCCTCAGTTCACTCCTGCAACGTTGCTCCGGCACCATTGGGGGCCCTCTCAGACACCTGCCAATGGACGCGCGCTCTGGGGCCTCCTTCAGCCGCAGGAGCTGTGTGTTTCTCAGTGGATTTTGGGAAGAGAGAAAGGGGGGGACATCAGAAAGGAACTTCGGGGTCTCCTGTGCAATTGGCACCTCTGTGTCCCGTGTCCCTAACACACGGGGGATTCCTAGCAGTGCCATCACCTCTGGGACCCCCGAGTGTAATTAGCACGTGGGTTTCCCTTGAATGGACTAACACACCCCTGAGAGATGTCGCCACCCGGGACCCGTGCTTGCTGACCCCAGAACTCCACCGCATCACGGGATCAAACCCAAGTGCCCCCCCTTTGCACAGGTGCCCCCCCCTTTGCACAGGTGCCCCCCCTTTGCACAGGTGCCCCCCACCCCGCCTTTGCACAGATGCCCCCCCACCCCTGCCTTTGCACAGATGCCCCCCCACCCCCGCCTTTGCACAGGTGTCCCCCCCATCCCCCGCCCCCCGTGCGTCATCCTGTGAGCTCTGGGGCCAAGGGCTGCAATTCCATCCTGTTCGTCCCGAGTCATGTGCGGCTGGAGTACACGGCATGTGTGTTGGTTCTGCACGTGTGCCTGTGCACACTCGGGGGCCGGAAGACAGCCTTTCGGGTCACCAGGTGTCTCCAGCATTCCCCCCCCAGCCTGGGTCAGCGGAGAAACGGTGTAAATGGCGTCCTCTTCCAGTGGGCCGCTGTCCACCCCCCACCCCGCTGTAATAGGATTGTGACTTTTGAAGTTAATAGGAAACGAGAGAGGGGGCTCCCACTTGGAGAATATGGGGTGTAGGGACAGATACGGAGGGCTTAGGGGGCCTTTGTGAGCTGGGCTGGGCGCCTTGTAGCCACAGGCTGGCGTGATGAAAGGACCGTGAAATCTGTGGTGGCAGGACAGCCCCTGCTCGAGACAGGGTCTGACTTCGGGAAAAGAAAGGGGTAAACTGCGGACTGCTTACATGTGTGTGCATCTGCGTGTGACCCAGCAGGGGGTCTCCTCAGCCGGCCGCCCCTCAGGCCCCTCCAGGTTCCCAGATCCCCAGCCGAGCACAGCGAGGAGCTTGGGGATTGCTAAGAAGGATGCCTGGGGACCAGCGCTTGCTGCCCGGGCTTCCCTACCGCCCTCCAGGACCAGAACCTCTAAACAGGGCTCCTGTTGGCCAGGGACACAGAACACAGGACAGGAAGGAATATGTGTGTTTGTACAGTTTAGGGTCAAATGTCTCTTGCTTTCAAAGATTCATCTTGTTTTTATCTATTTTTAAACATTTATTATTGTATCAGCCGGGTAGTGGTGGCGCACGCCTTTAATCCCAGCACTCGGGAGGCAGAGGCAGGCGGATCTCTGTGAGTTCGAGGCCAACCTGGGCTACAGAGCGAGATCCAGGAAAGGCGCAAAGCTACACAGAAAAACCCTGTCTCGAAAAACCAAAAACAGAATTTATTATTATATCTACTTATTTATTTATCAGTGTATGTTTACATAGGGGGTGGGTCTGCTGGTCACATGACTCACCCATGGAGGTCAGAGGATAACTTGAGAAAGTCAGGGGTCAACTCAGGTCATCAGGCTTGGTGACAAGCCCCGTCACCCCTGGAGCATCTCACCAGTCCTTTCAAAAGGATTGCTTTCTGGGTGGGTGGGGGATTTCAAGACAGGGTCTCTCTGTGCAGCCCTGGCTGTCCTGGATCTCACTCTGTAGCCCAGGCTGGCCTCGAACTCACAGAGATCCACCTGCCTCTGCCTCCTGAGTGCTGGGATTAAAGGCGTGCGCCACCACTGCCCTGTTTAAAAAGATTTATTTTTGAATTATTTTCTAATTATGTCTAAATGTATGTGTCAGGATAGCCTAGAAGAGGTAACTGGATCCCCTGGAACTGGAGTTACGACTGCTGGAAGTGGGTGCTGAGAACCAAACCTGGATCCTCTGGAAGAGCAGCCAGTGCGCTAATCACTGAGCTGTTTCTCTACCTCTTGAACAGTGGTTTTAGTTTAAGACAGGGTCTCGGGGTTGGGGATTTAGCTCAGTGGTAGAGCACTTGCCTAGCAAGTGCAAGGCCCTGGGTTCAATCCTCAGCTCTGAAAAAAAAAAAAAAAAAAAGACAGGGTTTCTCTGTGTAGCCCTGGCTGTCCTGGAACTTGCTCTGTAGCCCAGGCTGGCCTCGAACTCACAGAGATTCACCTGCCTCTGCCTCCGGAGTGCTGGGATTAAAGGTGTGCGCCACTGCCGCCCGGCCACCCTCCACTTCATTACTTGTGACATGGTCTCTCCCACTGAACCCAGCACTCCCCAGCTCTCCTGGGCTGGGTCCACTCCCCAGGGCTGGGGTTACAGGCACATGTCACGGCTCCTGCTTCCCCTTGGGTGCTGCGGATTCAAACTCAGGCCCTCAGCCTTCATGGCAAGCACCACACACACCCAGCCGTCTCCCCAGCCTCCGAGCACGTGTTTTGCTAATGAACTTTAAATTTCTGAGTCTTGTTTCAGTCACCAGGGAAGTAGCCTGGACTCCAGAGTCCTAGTCACTGGCGCTGGTCCGGGTGCCAGTGTGGGCCGTTCCCACCCCGCAGTGGGACTGAGACCACTCACAGAGACGGCCTCCTGTTTCCGTGGCCTCACTCTGTTCCCGATGATGTCTTACTTGGGTCCCTGGATCCAGTCCAGGCCAACTGGCTGACACACGTCCCCACACTTTGGTCCCAGAATTCACTGTTTCTGTCCCCAGCAGCGACACACGCTCTGCCTCGTCTTTATTTTCCTTTGCCCGGAGCTCACAGCCAACCTCTGCCTCAGTCTCTGGAGTGCTGCGATTCCATGTGTGGGTCCCCACACCCACTTATTTATTGTCTCTCTTTTCTTCATTTAAAAATATATTTGCTTTATTTTCATGTGTGCCGGAATGTACATACATGAATCATGTGTGTGCAGGAGCCCGTGTGTGTCAGAAGAGGATGTGAGCTGTCTCTCCAGCTCCATTTCTTGTCTTAAGAGCATGGGTTCTCAGGGTCAGTGAAAGGGCTCAGTGGGGAAATGTGCTTGTAAGTCTGACGACACAAGCTTGATTCCTGCAACTCACACAGTTGAGGAAAAAAACCAAGTTCTGCACGTTTTCCCCTGACTACACTTTAATCCCAGCACTCGGGAGGCAGAGGCAGGCAGAGCTCTGTGAGTTCAAGGCCAGCCTGGTCTACGGAGTGAGTTCTTGGACAGCCAGGGCTGCACAGAGAAACCCTGTCTCAAAAAACAAAAAACAAAACAAAACAAAAACAGACAAAAGCCCTCTGTCCCTAGAGCTGAAGCCGGGTGTCCAGCCGGGCCTGCCGTCCGTCAGTCTCAGAGGCGGCCCACTACAGACCGCACCAGTGTTCCCTGTCTGTGCTGGGGTCGCTTTTCTATCTACCCCTCCTCTTCCAGGTGTCCGGCCTGAGGTGTACGCCTGGATAGGAGGTAGACAGGAGAAACCGAGTCTCTCTGAACCCGGGCTCATCCTCACAGGGCACCGGCCTGGTCCCCAAGCCCTCCATCCAGCCCCACTGCTCGCGTTTCACAGACTGACAAGCTGAGGCACAGAGTAATCTGGATGGGACGACAGACCCGGCCTAGATCTGTTCTCTGAACCCCACATTCCCTCCAGGATCCCCCACACAGTGATCAAAGGGCCCAAGGTCCCCATCCAGCCCACCCAGAGCATCTTCCGAAGGGGGTTGAGACCATCTCCCCTAAAACCCTCATGTTTAAGTCAGCTGTTGCCTTGGCAACAGTCTGAAGCTGACCTTTGTGCAGGGGAAAAAAGGTGACCTCCTCCCCCCGGCCCCGGCCCTTCCCACCCCCTCCTCCAGGGTTGAAAGCTGCTGTCTAAACAATGCATTAAGGATTTCGGGCCGCCCTGCACGGAGGGAGAATTTCAATCCAATCCCCCGGCATCCACTCCTGAACTTGAAACACCGAATGGTGGTGACAAAGTGCGTCATCAGTCAGACGCGCACACACCCTGGGCCTGGGAACCCACAGGCACTGGGATTCCCGCCCCAGCTTTGTGTCCATGGAGACCACAGCCCCAGCCTCAGTTTCTCTAATCTGCTAAGTGGGCCCAAAGGAAGAGCCCCTCACCACCAAGGGCACAGAGAGAGGAAGGTTCGGAGCGGGGGGAGGGGGGGGACACCTGCCTCACAGGTGAGGAAGGGACTCAGCCAGGTGGAAGGCAGCCAGTGTCACCTGCAGCTGTGTGGGAAGCGGGTGGGGGCACAACACACTCCTGTCCAGTCCTGCTAAGAGACAGAGACACGCAGAGAGGGGCAGGCAAGGCCTTGGTGGCTCAGGCCTGTCACCCCAGCACTTGGGAGGCTGAGGCAGGAGGATCAGAGTCAAGGCCGGTCTCTGCTAGAGAGCTAACTGGAGACCCTGGGGCAGCAGGGAAAGGAGGACCAAGAAAAACAGAAAACAGCGGGAGCCTGAGCTCAGGGGGTTGCAGAAGTGAGCTGTCTGTCCGTCTGTCCTCTGTCTTGGCTCTAAGGGTGCCCCCTCTGTCTCTGGCAGTCAGACAGTTCGTAGGAAAAGGAGCAGAGCCAGGCCTCTTGAAGGGGCAGCACCCAGCAGGAGGAACAGCCTGTGTCTGTCTGTCCCATATCTGTGTCTGTCTGTCCCCATCATCTCGGTGTCTGTCTGTCCCCATCATCTCTGTGTCTGTCTGTCCCCATCATCTCTGTGTCTGTCTGTCCCCATCATCTCTGTGTCTGTCTGTCCCCATCATCTCGGTGTCTGTCTGTCCCCATCATCTCTGTGTCTGTCGTCTGTCCCCATCATCTCT